TTTTTACTTAAAGATATTATTGTTTCTAGTTGAAATTTTTTTTAAATTTGCACTACAAGTCTTTTGTATGATTTCAATTTCATGACGAAAATTTTTACATTTTTGCAAAATTACAAAAAAATGTATGAAAATTTAAACCGCACAAACACAGAGTAAGAACGCTTTTTAGCACAAACTTTTGTTTTGAGTAAATCACAAAAAAATATATATGTATATTTTATTTTATATAATTTTATGCATAAAACTTCAATTATTTTTTATTTTCGCGCAAAAAATGCAATGAAAAACTTACTTTGTACTTTTCGTGCCACTCTACGCCGTTGGAGTTGTGAACGATGCAAATTTCACGAAAACTTAATGTTTATAAAATTAGCCATTCTTGCATTTAACATTGTATGTACGTATGTGTAATAAAATGATGCAACACTTTTTTAAATTAAACGAATTTATAGTCGAAACTTTCTGATTTCAATGATTCCATCTACATTTGTACTCAAAAAAAAAAAACTTTCTATATTTTAATAAAGATGTTTTCCGAAATTCAATATTTTTATTAATTCATTAAGCGATTTTAGGTGTACAAATATCATAGATGTTATTACCTATCATTTGTAGGTCATTATAAAAGGTGAGCATAGCCTGATGCATAGATGATACTATCGGCATTAAATCCGTATGATTTTTAGTGAGCCCTAACCTTTAGAGGATCTGGAGGAAAAATGCTATTGAAGCCAAGGTGTGGCTTGATGACCATTATTTGGTTACTGCAACAGAAAATTCAAACGTTGAGAAAAAGTTTAAGAGAAACGAAATGAGCACCGAAAACTTCAAAAAACTCTCAAAAATAATTTTGGATGTCCCCGAAGTGAAGTTGTTGTAGAGAGCTGAGACTATAAAGATATCAAAGAATAGATTAGACAGATTAGACAAATAAATGAGGAAAGGTGCTATTTAGGCGATGTGATCCCTATTTGGAAATATGGAATCAATCGCCTTTATATTGCGCCTACAGACTGCTGTGCAGTCAATTAGCAGGTATTCTGAAGTTTCAGGCTCTATGTTTCAGAACCGATAATTTGCACAAGAAGCTACGGCCATGTTATATAAGTGCTTCTTGAGCCTGAGTTTGTCCGTGAATGATTGATCATATACGAGTATTAAAACTTTTTAATGTTATTAGCACCTTGGCATGGCGCATGTCTTGGAGTTGTTGCTTCATCTTTGCGAAGCAGCTCCTTTATGGAATAGAGAATGAAAGGTTCGGGTCATACCATGTCACCATCAGCCAGTTCATTCCCGGTTATTTCTTTGTGGCCAGTCACCCTGTTAAGGTGTGCTTGGTAACGATCTGATAGATGCACCGACTTATGGCAAAGGCCACCGCTTGGAATACACTTGGAAAACTTCCCAAAGGTGTAATGAATTTGGTGCGCGGTCCGGCGATTTCTGAACTAGTTTGCTTCGATGTTTTCGAGACGTGGATGTACCACTTCAATGTACTATCCTAGGCAGTAGCTCGAGAGCGGAATCATACCATTCAGCAGTCCAACTGCTCAGGGTAACCTTGAACTTCTTAATGAAGTTTACACTTTTGGCAAAGCTATTCCTTGGGAAAAGAATCAGTGGTACAATATTTCGCCACTTAAGTCTTTCATGCGCTGGGAAGAGATTATCTTTGCCTAACCCTTCTGCTGTTGTTGCGATTAGTGTGTGGGTGACACACGGATTACTAGGTGCTGCAGTGTGAGATTCAGCATGACTTCAAGTGCCGCCGTCGGGCATGTGTGCAGGAGCAGGCGAGTCATTGCAGCTTCGATAGTTGAAGTCCTACCGAAGTCTGCGATGTTTTCGAGGCCCAAGCCACCGCTCCATATGTGGTAAACGATCGAACGATCTTAGTGTGCAATCACCTGGCAATCTTTGGCTTGCAGCTCCAGGATATACCAGCTACTGCACATCATAAGTAGCTAAGCTATCAAAGAAACATTATGTATATATTATGAACGAATATTTGAGTATGCGAAAGCTTTGTGCAAAGAGGCTGCCGCGCGAGCTTACACTTCATCAAAAACAATAATAATTCACGCCGGAGTCGACAGTCAGCCGGGTGGGCTTTTAGGCTTTTTTGAGGCTAAAGTTGAATTGTCTTATAAAAATTTTATTGAAAAATGTTGTATATTTGGACAATATAACCTAGACAGCGTAGCCGTTGTTTCTTAATTCGCTGAACTATGTCAATGACGTCGGATATCTCGTACATCGTTCCATCGACGGCGGTATTCGGCGTTGCCAATGCGTAAAGGATCAGAATCAGTTGGCAAGAGTTATTTTGCTTTGGATTTCGAGGCTGACGTTGTAGCTGATGTTGATACTGGTTCCGAGATAGACGAAATTACCTACGACCTCGAACTGAAGCCGCGCGATCTACCCAATCGACATGGCTTCATCTTTGTGGTCCCAGAAGATCATTTTCGAGGCAAATTTTATTCAGCGATTCTGGCTCAATGGGTATGTAAAAAAGCAAAATTGCCACATTTGGGACGAAGAACAACCTGAAGAGATTCAAGAGCTGCCATTTCATTCAGAAAAACCAACGATTTCGTGTGGTTTGTTAGCCGGTGAAACCATCAGTCCATATTTCTTCAAAAATGATGCCGGTGAGAACGCAACCGTCAATGGCTACCGATATCGGGCAATGATAGCTGACTATTTAACTGACATTGAAGATCGTGATCTCTGCCACAATGGGTTTCAATAAGACGGCGCCACTTCCCACACATCGCATCAATCAATAGACTTCACATTAATTTGTGATATCACACCTTTAGAATATTTCCTGTCGGGATATGTAAAGTTTAAAGTCTATACGGACAATCCCGCTTCGATTCAAGCCTTCAAACGAAGCAGCACGCGTGTCATTGGAAATTGAACTCAACGGATGGACCATCTGTGATAATCTTCAAAAAATAAATACTAACGAATGATCTTTCGAATGATAATAAACACTGGATCACCTTTTATTAGCATAGGTGAGTAGACCCTGCATTTAAATAATAATAAAAATTTTCCTTTCTCTATGACTAGTAAAAGATATATAGCAATTAAGAAACAGCCACAATAATTATTTTTTGTAATTTTTATTTATTATATATAATTCAAGATGATCTAACACTGTGATTTTTGTTTTATTTTCTTTTACATACAAACATGTTTAGTTTCATTTTCTCATTACATTTGTTTACTTGTTTCACTTTTTGTGGTTTTTTATTTGTTATCTGTTGTATTACACTCTCAATTGTTGTTGTTGTTGTGAGTGTAGCTGCAGCTGGCTTTGGTCAATTAAATTTTATGGCTATTTATCAATTATTTATTTTACTCTTAATTCATTTGTATGTTCTGCTATAGACACACATTCTCTGCAGTTTTACTTAATTTTTGGTTTTAATTGTTTAAATTTTTTTTTGGTAAATATTTTCATTCTATTATGCAAGTAATGCCAAAAAAGTTTCGATTATATTTTATTATTATTATTTTTATTACATAATAATTTTGTATTAATATTTTTGCTTATGTACTGTTTTAATATTACTGTATAATTCTTATGTTCTTATTAGTTTTTTTTTAGTAAGAAATAAATTTGTTAGCAATTGGATTTGCATTTTTTGTTTTGGTTTTTGTATTTAATTTAATTAAGTTTTTTTTTTTTTAATTAAGATGATGTACATATGCTTGTATGACACACATTTTATTACTTAACGGTCCGGTTTGTTTACTTTTAGTGTGAAAATATAGTTGTTGTTGTTCATATTTATGATTATGTGTATGTATTTGTTAGTTAGTTAGTGTAGTAATGCAATAAGGTTGTAGCATTACAAATCAACTGACCTAAATTAATTATTTAATTTAAATTTGATTTGAGTTGAGTTGAAACCTAAGTTAGCAATATATTTTTGGAAATGAAAAATAAATTCAAAAATTATTTTAGATGTAGTTTT